ATATATATATATATATATATATATATATGCATATATATATTTACTTATTTATTTATTTAATTTTATATTTATTTCTTTAAAATAAAAGAGCGAAAAATTTATGTAAAGTTACATGCATAACTTAGAGTGATAAGAACGAAGAGCCTTTCCTTAAATAAATGAAAAAATGTTCAATAACATTTAACAGTATAACATTTTAAAAATTTATAGGAAAAATTGTTACTTAAAAGAAAAAACGCTCTGCTATATTGCATATATCTTTGCAATCACCTACCCTAAAATAAAATTGAAGAAAACCTACCAGTGACAAACAAACGTCATCAAAATAAAAATAAAGGAAAAGTTATTATGAAGGAATATGGAGTTACGTGATCAATAGTCGGAAAAGTCAAAACTATGCTGCAATTGAAAAGATATTTATAAGCATCTTTTGCCAATTTTGCAAAAATAACATAAAAATACTTTCAGCCAGGGCAGATAAAATTATAAGAACTGTACCCTAACCATTTATCTTCCGCATTTGAAATATAAGTACATTTCAGTCGTCAGTGAAAGAACTAGCACAGAAATACCCTATCGGAGAAGAAAAGGCTGAAATATTGTTTAAATGTTATTCAGAGACTTCAGATATCCCCAAATGCTATTTCATTACATATTTTTTTTAATTATAAGACTCATTCTCTCAATTCAGTCAGCTTTTACATTGCCATTTACAAAATCAGCCAAACCAAAAGTTTTCAGCAGGTTACTACAAGTGAAAGCTGTCAAAAATTACAACCCACAAAAAAGCATAACTTCAACCTTTTTAAAAGTAGGCCAACCTGATAAGTTTGCATTTACCTAAGCCATACTCAAAGCTAAAAGTTAAACTCAGAAAAATAAGCTAGAGCACAATCAATGAACTCAACAGGCCAATTCAGTGTCTTAATTGCCACTGAAATAGAAAGATTCACTAGGCATCATAGGCATCACGAGTAATACCACTAACTTCTCGAAAAACCAGAGCTACATTAAAAACAAAAAACTCACGGTTTTCTGGAAATTTAGTTAAGCCATCTGTAAACTGATAAATGAAAAAACGGCCTGTTATAAAAGGCGATAATTATGAACAAGTTTTTTCACCAGGAAAGATGACAAGTAGGCTAGCCAGCTAAGCAAAAATTTGTTTGTTACAGTGAGAGGCTTGCATTACATATTATTCCCCCTTTGAGCTTGCAACCAAATTTTTTGTTTTGAACAGGCTTAGGCATAATAGAGGATCTGGGAACCAAAAAAACACTTCCCAAAAAACCCCACGAATTTCGTAAAAAAAAAAAAAAATTAGTTGAGTAGCTGCAGTAAGGCCAAAATTTAAAGCGATGAGAAAATCGAATAACAAAGTTATCCAAAAGCTTTGTAAGATCCTCTACGTTCTTTATACCATCATCCGCAAAACTGCTTAAAAAGTGAGTATAGAACGAGTATAAACGTGAGTATAAATCACATTAATTTTCTAAAAAATTCTATAAAACTGCACAGGAAAATTTCATCAAAGTGAAAACCTTCGTAACTCTCAAAAAAAAAACCCCCCTTCTACTTGTTTTTAGTCGAATGATGAATATAGCTATCGGCCTAAAAGTTGTGTTTAAATATTAAACTGCATTTGGCATAAAGATTTGTCAACCAAAAAGCATCGTTTGAATTCGTGAAAAACGTTTGAACTCATGAGCAAACAGTAACTTAAATCTAATAAATATTTTCTCGAGCTCCAAGACGAAAAACCGAGAAAGAAGCTAATTCAAAACTTAGTTTCTCTTAATGCGACAGATATTTCTCCAACATTTTAAAAACCAATTTTTTAAATGATTCGCTACGGCAAAAAGTAATCAGAAGTAGAATGCAAGTAGTGACCTACATAAAAAGGTTAGGATTCCAAAAACATGTAAACAAGGAAAACAATAACGCCTCAGATAAACATATGAGATAGTTAGAGGGAAATTGGAAAATAAAAATAAAGATTTTCCTTCCATCACAGTGTCACATTAATTTTCTAAAAAATACTATAAAACTGCACAGGAAAATTTTATTCAATTGAAAAATTTCCCAACTCTCGAAAAAAACCCCTTCTACCTGTCTTTAGTTGAATGATGAATATAGTTATCGACTTAAAAATTAAGTTTAAATATTAAACTTCCAATACCACTATCTCAAAGTCAGTGATTTCAAAAATTCCGAGTCCCTTCTTTCATTTTTAAATTGTAGAAATTTCAAAAACTCCCAGTTTTTTCTTTCATTTTGAAATCATACACTAAAGCTTACAAACGAGAATTTCCTCAAAAACAGTGACGTAATACTTAGACTGGACGCCTAGATCAAAAGTTCAAAAAAAATAACATTGAAAAAGTAAAACTTCTTGCAAAAGTTAGTGCCTAATAGCAATAAAATACTTCTGAAAAATACTTTCTGAAAATGAGTTTCCTTGAAGTTAAAGGTTGAGTTGATAGAAATTTTTAATCCTAATAGTTGTGAGGTCACTGATAAAGAAAAGATTTTTAAGATGAATCTTCAGATAAAGAAACTAAAAACATATCCGACAAAAAAAAACGCCATACGAAATTGTAAACAACAGACACTGTAAGAAATGCTGACAGTTGGAATAAAACTGATGATACTAACGATCCATTATTCTTCAAAAGATTACGGCTAAAGATCCAAAAAATTCCCATCATTACCGCAAAACGGTGATGCTTTATAAAATTCAAGTAACTTTAAACGGTTTTGCAACTGTATTTAACTAATTTCTTTAACATATACAATCTTTAAATCATTAATGTGAGAATCCCTCTAAAAGTGACTGGCCATGAATAATGATGTAACTAAAAGAAAGCAAAAGAAAACTTTAAAACTAAGAGCAATTAGTATGTTTATAACATTGCATAAGAAAGTTATTTATCCTAAAAATCCTAATTAAAAATTCAAAACATATTCATATAACGTTTTATACGGACCTGAAAACACAAAAATGTTCAAGCTTTTCCAAGACAAAACAAAAAGCCATATAAAATTTGAAGAGGTACGAATACCGAACATAGTACGTATCCAGTTACACAAACGGCGTCGTCAATTGTGAAGATGAAACTACTGTCTCGTTAAACATATGACCAAAAAAAGTAACAAAAGGAATTCTCCAGTCAAAAGTAGTACATCGAAAAAAGTTACCTAAGCCAATGTCGCTTGCTTATAGGAGCGTGGCAGCATATTGAATCAAATTGGTCCGCAATCCAAACAAGCAAAATTACATAAAATCCTGTCGAAGTATCATTGAATATATCTCTCATTATTGTTTCCATCCCTGCAATATATCTTAGTAGTTCGGATAAAAAAAATATTCTAGAAAGATGAAAAATAATTAACAGACAACAAGCAATTAACATTAAAACAATTCAAAGACAGGGAAAATTCTTTTGTCATCATGGAAAAGCGTAATGAATTCTCTGAAAGCCCTAAAACTAACTAAATAATGTCGGAAAAAAACTGTTAAAATACCTCCCTGAAACATCCACAAAAAAGATTAACTTCTTTAAACACGATTTTCTTCTAGTAATTCTTCTATAGAAAAACATCTGTAGTATTCAAAAGCAAAAGACTTTGGACAAATAAGTTGTAAAAAAAACCAGTTGTTTTCTCCATACCAGACTAAACGTATAAAACGGCATTGATATAAGCCTCAAAAAATCCAAAAGCAACTAAAGCATGAATAAAAAAAAGCTACTTTGACTGTTCAAAACCAAAAAATTCTTCAGAAACAAAGCCCAAGTTTTTTTTTACAAAACAATGCTTCATATATCCAATTAAACAAATTCAAAGAATTACCAAACAACGCCATTATCACTGTTAGCAAAGGAGCAGCAGGAAACTCCATGATAGAATTCTGATCAAAAATTTGTAATAAATCAACTATGAAAACGAAGATTTGGTAGTGTGAAAAACGAAGTAGCATGGATATCGCAAAAGTCTAAAAAGGGTCTCGACATAAAAGCATAATTAGCAGAAAAAAAAAGAGGACTAAGGGCACAGTTACAAATATTTAGATCTAAAAATGTGAGTAAAAGAGGAAAACGACAAGATTTTCTAGTGATGCTGAGGTCCTATATTACAAAAAAAATTTATTCTAAGAATTGGTAAGTGCAGGGGAATGTAGAAACCTACTCAAAACTATTGTTTCTGGACAGTAAAAACCGACTTCATCGTAAAGAGGTCAATAAAACTTACAAAAATAAGCATCACGAAAAAGGCATACAAATAGCTAATTCTCGAATGACCAGATGGAACAAACCGATATAATTCACCATTCATCAAATCCTTCAAAAAACCTAAAAAACCAAACTAAATTAATCCCGCTAACAACACAAAAATAGCAGAACTTATCAATGTGACAAGTAAAAAACTACCAACCTTTCTCAACCTCATTTCCAGCAAGTGATTTGACAGACGACATTAAAGCATCCTCGAAACCCAAAAAATACCGCATCAAAAAACGATGAAATGCATCACCAAAGCATTCGTCAGTGTCAGGATCAATCTAAACACCGTAGACCACCTGCTGTCTCAATAGTAATAGAAGAAACTACTTTACAAAAACGGTACTTGCTTAACATCTTAATCAAGTCACTCTTTAGAATGCATACTAGAAGTCATCCAGTAGAAACTTTCCAAAAAATCTTACCCGTACTCGCATGAATGGAATTTTATGTTCTGCTCGATATGCATCAGAAAGCTTCAGTAGACCGGTATGCAAAGAATACTCAATTACACACTCATAAGTTGCCTCTGGCCCATTCTGTCCTGAAAACTTCAATAAATAACTTCTTAAAGTAATACGTTAACAATGAAAAACAAGTCACAAATTTAACATCTCCCGATACAACAAGATGATATTTTATTTTAATACTTTTGTGCAAGAAAAGCAAAGGAAAGTTTCTCGAAAGAATTCAATATGAACCATAATTTGTAAGATCCTCATCCAAATCTTGATTGGAAGTTAACATCAGATCATCTTTTGAAATGCGATCTCCGGCTGTCCTTCCAGACTTCCATAAAAAGTCAAATACTGTTTGGTTGGTCAGTATTAAATTGCTCCAATGATCAGGATCTTCCCTATTAAAAGCAAGATTGAATAAGTTTGCCTATGCACCTTATGTTACAGCAAAAACTACAAAGTTTAAAAAATAAAGACAAAAATTTCGACAGACAAGCAATATTTCCCAAAAAATCACTACTTTGATGCAGTTCTTCCCATTTTTCTCAGTTCTTTTGGAAGTGCAACTGGTCCTTTCATCAGTACTTCCTTCAGGCTAAAGAAAGTTAAGTTTGACTGAGTTCTTTCCAGTCTTGAAGTTTCTGCAAAACTAATATCCTTTTATAACAAACAGAGCCTCGTAATAGTCTTAAATAATATTTAGTAAAATAAAGTTTCAAACAGTGTTAAAAAATTGAGATAAATTAACGGGGAAATAGCGCGAAAAGTTCCAGAAAACTAACCCGCCAAACGTTCTTGAAATGCATTGTACTTATCCAAATTGTTAATAACTTCTACCCTTAAAACCCCATCACGTGGCCATACATCTGTTAAAGAGGAGAGACAATCTGCATCCCTTCTGCCAAACGAAAAATGAACATACAGCATGAGACAGAGCAAAACCAAAGCCTTAAAGTGGGACGTACAAGCAACAACCAAAATCGAAAAGAAAGGTGTTAATTTTATGAAAAAAGATTAGCACTCACTAAATAACAAAACTTCAAAAGCAGAAGCATAACTAAGACAGCAGTTGGAAGAGAACTATGAAGAGTGCTTACTATTAATAAAGTGAAAAACTCAATCAGACGTCTAATAAACTTCGGCACATACTGATTGTAACACACGGCCATGCGTACCAGCATAGCCTGGAATATTCGATCTCGAACAGTACCTAAAAGTACGAAATTAAAAGGCTAATAGACTATAAGCTTTAAAGCAAAGCAAAGTAAACTTAAAATCGACTGACTTGGAATGACCATTTTCCACTAAAAGCTAATTATAAAAGGAGTGATAAGTAGATAAATTTATATAATGGATGACATTTCTCATCTAAAAACTACAAAACTTTCGTTTGGTATGCGGAATGCAACTGCGCAAGTTAAAGAAAAATCATTTCACACAGAAACTTTATTTTTCCTTAGCCTCTTAAATTTATAAAGTTTTATGCACGCAAAAGATGTTACCATTTTCGCGTAATATCTGGAAAAAATTTTTGAATTCAAAATAGGTCACTCTGGTTAACAAGGTGTGAAAATCTAAAGTCTCCTCTATTATTCCGAAATAAAATTTGAAGCGGGCACGCGCAAAAACAAAGATACATGTTGTTCTGAACATACCGAACTGATTATTAAACTGTTGCTGTATATTATTATTATTCATATTGTTTAGCTGCTGGACCTCTATGCCATTTTCACTCGAACCTTGCTGCTGGCCATTATTGATATTAACTTCATTACTTGCAGTATCTGAGCTGGCAGTGACCGGCCCTCGGCGGACTGACCCGTCTAAGACTTCAGAGTTGGAAGTTACCTGGTCTGCCATTGCATAAATTTAATTTCGAAAAGTTACGAACGTAAAATATGTCGTTTTAAAACTAAT